ACCGTGTTACAGCTTCTTTACTATCATAGTTGGCCAAAAATGACGAGTATCTGTTTCGGATGATTGCGACAAGCCGTCTTCGGTTCCTCTTTTAAAACAGGAAGTACTGAGGTCTGGAATAGAGAACGGCCTTGAGGGTGCAGTTTCCTGAAACAGACCCAGGGGCCGACCTCCGCGAAGGTGAATAAAGGACATTGCAGATGCTTTAGCTATAAAAGCACACAGGGCTGGAGAATTTGCTAGGGAAAGAGAAACTTTCTGGTGTGCCGTGAAGAAACGACGTCCTGTAAAGAACATGCCATGATGATTGATTGATTGCTCGATTGATTGTTCTACACATTTTGATTGTCGAGTAAATGTTGAATTAAGAGTGGACATCATAACGTTCTGGACACCCCCATGAGCGCTCCATCTTCATATTCAGCAGCAAATGAAGAGTACCAATTCCGATGGCACCAGTAACTGTCTGAGTGTATATCCAACTCGACATTTCCTTGGCTGTTGAGCTTTGGCCGGATCCCTGGTAACTCCTCGCAGCGCCATTTTTCTCAGACTGTGATTGTCGAGGAGAATTTAAGCTTTCTTTTGCAATTCCACATCTTTCAGGAGTCAACTCGCCAAAATAAAAATTGTAAAAAAAAAAACATCCATTCAGATCTCTCTCTCTCTCTCTCTCTCTATCTATCTCTCTATCTATCTCTTTAAATGGCATCTCACACTCTGGATCTTTTCTCCAGGCTATGCCGACGTGGTGTGTATTGAAAAGGTAGACAGATTGACTGGATCTGCACCACTGGGTGGTGAATTGATACATGACAAGACAGATTTGGTCAAGGCCCTTTGGGAACAAGCAACGGAATCAGTAGAGAAAGAAGATTATTATGGCCTGGGGAGAATGAGGCACCTGGGTGTAACCAGAGGGTCTGACCGGCTCACTACACATAGAGGCAAGGCAAGACGGACATATAACCAGTTTGTAACCGATACCATCATAATTGGAACTCTGCACTGGCTGCTGAAGATGAGGACGGAGCATGCATGGGAAGCCCCGAGTGCTGTGATGTCAATTCTTGATTCAACTCAACGTAAACAGCATCTTTCCGTATAAACCACTGTCTTAATTTTGCAGATATAGTGATATAGATACACCATAAATTTATATTTTCGCTTTTAGATTCAGCTTTTCGTTATTAAACAATCTGGTCAGGTACATGCGTCGGCCATATTTGAAAACATCAGAGAACGACTGTCAATACTTTCATTATTTATACGTAATATCTCTGTAAGTTTTTGCAACGGTGCTTTTTTTTAACGGGTAGTTCATTTTGTTAGCAATTCTATTTGAGATTCGACTGCCATGTTTCTAAGTGGGGTATTTTGGCTGAGTATTTGTTAAAAGCGTACCCGAACCGACAACCGAACGAAGGACTCATTGACTCATTCTCATTCGTCGGTAAGGTAATGAAAACCAAGAATTGGAAAGAGAGCTAGCTGATTAAACTAAAGTTAAGAATTGAGCTGGCGAATCCAGACCAGATCGGCAGCGGTTTTTGGCAGTCAACTTTTTTTAAAAAGCATTTTGATTTGTTAATCTCACCCTGCCCCCAAGACGTACAGTTACATTTTTAGACAGTAAAATATTTGGCTCTCCTCCGAACTTCTACGCCCCGCATTATGGCGGCCTGAAATATCCTTCCAGGGCTCAGTGTCAGTCCAATAAAAAAAATGCGAACTTCCGGCGACGAACGAATCGCGGCAAAGCTAGGATCGGCTCCGTATAGCGAAACAAATGCTCTAACAGGGTCTCAGCGATATGTTAATTGCGGACCTGTATCTGTGACTATGCCTCACCACCGAGCGTATCCCCATCGCCGCTACGCCCGGCGCGGATGGGGGCTAAACTAGATGGCTGGGACTCATGAGCAGCAGCTACCGCATCTACTGCAACTTCCTCCAATTAATTTGATCGTGAGTCCCAGGCATCTAGTGTAGCTCCCCATCCGCTGCACGGGAGATACTGTCGGTGGTAAGTGTAACCACGTTTTGCGCATGCCGAAAGGTTTGAGGACAACGATGATGCTAATCTGCGTCGGTGCACGTGGTCTCCCCGCCATGTCGTTTTTATCGTCTGCAGAAACGTTCAAAAGTGTCAACGGTCACTATTATCGTCTGCTACTATCTTCTGCAGTGTCCGCAATTAACATATCGCTGAGACCCTGTTAGAGCATTTGTTTCACTATACAAAGCCGATCCTAGTTTTGCAGCGATTCATTTATCGCCGGAATTTCGCATATTTTTAATAGCACTGAGCCCAGTATGGATATTTTTCGGCGGCATAATACCGAGGTAGAAGTTCGGAGGAGAGCCAAATATTTAGTTGTAATTTGTATAAACTATGTATGTGCATAATCCTGCTGCCTTCCGCTGAATGAGAGCAGAAAGTAAGTCGCAAAAAAAAAAATCAAGGATTGAATGTGAACTGAATTACTGTACTATTAAAATGTCTCTACTTTTTGTTTTTTAACTAGGTAAACCTGACAAAGTTAAATCCAGCAAATCAGTGTATTTTGGCCAGATTTTCTGAATTATTTTTAAATAAAGCAACTATCACAGTTGCATTCCACATGGAAAAAGTCAAAAATGAATCCAGCGGCACATCGTTCAAGTCTCTGTGACATTTATAAGCCGCGATATTAATTTTTAAGCTAAATAATATCAATAATTGGAACTTTTTTTGGTACTGACTTTCAGAAAATGGTTTGGCTACTATCTTCTGAATAACGGTCCCAAATTATCGAGGCTGAAAATATACTCTAACAGGGCCTCAGTCACATGTTATTGCAGACTGCCGCCACTCCCGAGAGTATCTCCCATGCCGCTACGCGCGGCGTGGAGGGCTAAACTAGATGGCTGGGACTCACAAGCAAATAAAATGAAGGAAGCTGCATGAGATACGGTAGCTCGTGAGTCCCAGTAATCTAGTTAAGCCCTAATCCACACCGCTTAGTCAGAGTTCAGTCCCCTGGCTGCAGTGCAATTACGGAGTGGACAAAACACAGTGAGTTCAACATGGCGTCTAGACCACGCGCTGCGACTCACATTAGCCTAACCCAAACCCTAACCCTAACCCTACCCCTAGCCCTAAGTATGTCATTTGGGTCGTTCCCTCTTTTCCACTCCGTAATTGCACTACAGCCAGGGGACTGAACTCCGACTAAGCGGCCGTCGCCGTCCAAGTAGCGACCGTTATTGCAAGGAGAGCCTTAAATGTTAAATAGCTCAAGCAAATGAATAATATTTTATGCAATCCTACTTTGTCATTTGAGATGAGAAAGAGAATTCCTCAAAGCTACATAAATCCTATCTTGAAATATGGAAATAAATCATGGACAGTTAGTAAATTAGTTAAAACTTATTTGGAGTCTGCAGAAATTTTTACAGACCAATGTTGAGAATACCCTGGACAGATAAAAAGAGCAATGACGATGTCTTGAAATAAACTGACTCATGAAGAGAACCAGTTGCCCACATCAGAAAGAGACAATCTATGTCCTATGTTGAAAAGGGGGGGGGGGGGATCAGCTGGGGGAAAAAGGCAAAATGTCATGTTTTTTGTGTGACAGAAGATAAAGGCCTCTTGGCAGTTACCTGGCATGACACTGAGAGAGTTAGCTCAGTATCTGCTCTTTACTCCATTGATGTTATGGACAAGAGAGGAAAAGGGGAGTTCGTGAGGACAGAATAATCAACAAGCTAGTTCTTGCAGAGAAATACAACAAATTATGGGGGGGGGGGGTTGTCGATCACTTTGGCCAGCTGGGTGCAGACTACCCCTACCCACATAGATCCTGTAAATGGTACCTGCCATTATGTCTTTTTTCAGTTAAAACTGCTGTGCTTAATGCGCATATAAGCTACTACAATGTCAACTCCACGAATAAGATCACAATAAAGAAGTTCAGGCAGGATGTCAGTCTTGCTCTTATCAGACCTAATGTTCTTAGCCACAGTGTAACACCTTCAAGACCACAAGTCACCACATCACAACTTACTGAGCGTCATTTTATTGAAAAATATGAAAAGTCAAAGTACGAACCAGTCTATAAAGTGTGTAAGGCGGCAGAGACTTGCGTGTACTGCCCTGATTGTAAAACACCTCTACTATGCTTGACAGTTTTAAGCTATACCACACAATTGAGGATCATCAACGTTCCTGACAAAGACTTGCAGAGGTCTACAGCTTCAACTCCAGTTAATGAAGGAAGTAGCTCAGACTTAACTAGAGCTACTTTTCAATCAAGCATTCACAAATACTCATTGTAACATGCCACATAGACACAGTAAACTCAAGAAATTATTTTTGTTTAAAGTTTTTAATGTTAATATATTTGGTCAGTTGTTAAAACATTGCTCCTATTGCGCTTACTTTAATTTATCAGAACGATGTCCCCAACATTTTATTACACTGACATTGAACAAATTCACTAAAAACTATAAAAAGATGATTTTTAAAACATCTGTAATTTCTGTAAAAAGCCAAAACAAATTCAAGATTGCTGCCATGATCATGTGACATATTTACATAACAAATCTTTTTTTCCCGTGAGTAACAACCATTCATGATGGTGCTCTGAAGGTTTCAAAAGCCTACGGTCATTTGTAAATTTTTTTCCAATAATTTAATTAGAAAACTAGTCTTTAAAAAAAATAAATCCTAATACCCTTGGCAATGGGAGACAATAATGCACCCGATTGCTGGTTACCAAAGTGTTGAAACTTTGAATTTGAAGAATAAACCATTTTGAGCAATTTAATAAACCAGGGGAATATTGTAGCCATCTGTAGCTCTATAGATATGCTGTTCGTGATTTTGTTTTTCTTGTATTTTATGTATTTGCTATATGTCTGCTGATCTGTCCAGGAAATACCTGTTCTTTCTATACGGACACTGTAAATGAGTATAAACCTGCAATTTTTTGTACTTTGCTATATAGATAACCATGTCTGACTGTCAAGGGTGTGTTGTCAGACTTCGAGGACTTCCATGGGCAACAAAAGTGGATGAGGTCGTATATTTTTTGAGAGGTTAGTTCAGCATTTCACTATTCATTTTTTTACATGTAAAGAGGGCCAATAAAATGGTTTGTCTGCTCAGAAATGCATTGAGTGGCTGTATCAAATAAGGCAAACACCAAAAGAGAAGAGGGACAGAGCAAAGGGTAGACCAGGATTGAAAGATAACATCAGATAAACTCTACCGTGGCGCAGTGATTTATGTCACAGGCGTGAGGGGAAGTTAAGTCCAACATGATGTGTATAAGGAGATATTCCATACGTCACTCGGGCGCCAGTCCTTCACTGTTCTAGTTTTACGGAACCTCACGCTAGACCCCTGCAGCACGTCCTCGTCGTGCGCCACGGATAATGTCTCAAATGAGCATTAACAGAGCTGTCAGGGGATCTCGGAGTTTGGCGGCCCCCAGAGGTGATGTGTCCTTGTGGCTCTCATCAGCCCGCCCCCAAACGCTTGGGTGAAAAAGGTTATCAAAACTCACTAGGAACATGAGTATGCTTGCCAAACGTACAGCTAAAAATCACAACCCTTGGTTAAAAGAATGCGGAGTGAAGAGAACAATGTTCACTGTACATCCTCTGTTAACCCTCAGTGTCGTCACCGCGCTGAGGTACACCACAACAGCAACCATCCAGAGGCTGGCCATCCATGTACATCCTCGGTTAACCCTTAGTGTCGTCGTCACCGCGCTGAGGTACACCACAACAGCAACAGCCCATTGGCTGGCTAAGCCCAAATGTCCGACAAAACTAGATCCTACGGCACACGAGTAAGCTCAAAATCTGACCACCACAATTTGTATTGAACGGAAAAAGACCAAATGTCCACACCCAAAGACCCTACTCGCCCGAGTGTTGGGACCAAACTGATAACGATATGCCTCACACAGGTTGTAAAATTCTGTCGGGCTAACGGCTCGTCAAAGAATTCTAACGTGCGAAGAAAAAAAAAAAAATAGGCCTGACGTCTTCCTTCGAAGTCGGAGTACAGCTGCCCATAAGGCAGGGAACATTAAAATGGTTGTACACGCAAAAATCAGGTCCGGGTGATAGCCAAAAGTCCAAGCGGACGATTAACCGGGACCTTCCGCCGGAATTCACAGCCGGTGAACGATTTAAAAAAAAAATAAAAAATAAACTCCACCTACTCCCCATGTGGGTTACGGGTTCCCATTGTGGGGAAAACAAGAATAGAACCACTGCCTCCCCAACAAGCACGTCAGAGGAGTCGACTAATTGGGAGCTTCCTTTAAGTCGGAGTGCATCTGCCAGAGCTGCAAGAAGCAACCAACTGCACACAAATAAGCCAGTAAAGCGGATGCACACGCAAAACTCAGGCCCTGGCACAAAACCAAAGTCCAGATAGACAAACTGCTAGGACTTTCCGCCGGAGCTTAAGACGTTGAACGAAAAATGAGAAGATAAACTCTACAACAGCATGATGTGTCTGTCGTTGAGGCAAGCAGAAGAGCAAGAATCAGAGTAATATATTTCCCCTGACACACACATCGATACAAGAGAAAGTAAAGAAGAAAAAACAGCTGTGAACAAGAGGTGTACAACATAGAATAGGTTTTGAAACATTCTGAACAATGAACATTGTGGCAAAATCATCCAGCATTGCATTGCTTTGAGATAACAGATTACTGAACCTGGACAGATAGAAAACAGAAGTAGCTTGGGTAACAAACATTTCATTAAATTAAAGCAGAATGCAGCCACAACTGTCAGTCTTAACTATATTGGCTACCAATGTGGGTTCCAGGGCCCCATTGTGGGGAAAACAAGAATAGACCCACTGCCTACCTAGAAGCATGTCCTAAAAGTTCAAAGTCAGAATACATCTGCCTGAGAGGCAAGGAACCAACAGTCTGCATGCAAATGAGTCAGATCTGTGAAACAGATGTGCATGCAGAACTAAGTTTCTGGAACAAGACTAAAGTCCAGAAGTGAACAAAACAGAACCTTCTGCTGGAGTTAACAGCTGGTGAACACGAAGAAGAAAAATGTATTTGTGTAAGTAATTTAAGGTAAAGATTTCTTATCAAACATACTGTTTGGAGCCTCACTGAATAATATTCTCACAGACCACACATTGTTGTAGTGCAGTCAATATTCCTTGTCGAGAGAGTACCTAATATTAGAGTTACTTGGTTGTGTCGTCATATTTTTTATGTGATATCTTCTGCTATCTCTCCAGAATGCAGAATTGTTGGGGGTCCAGACGGAGTTCATTTTACTTATTCTCGAGAAGGACGGCCCAGCGGGGAAGCCTTTGTGGAGCTAGTCTCAGAAGATGATGTCACACATGCACTTGCACAAAATAATGAGCATATTGGAAACAGATACATTGAAGGTTGGTTGTTTCCTGCTTTGTTTTTGTGTTCATTCCTATATTGTCAGGAGTACATCGCACCTGTGGTGTCCTGTCAAACTTGGAGGTTAGTGTGTACTGCACACATTTGTTGAAACTCAAATTCTTCTGAATAGAATGAAAGGTATACAGGCTCTAACACCGAGCAAGCTTTCCTTTTCTGCCCTTTATCCCCCAGTGGAGCATAGGCCTTCCACGAACTCACGCCAGGTTGTATTATCCTTTGCTATCATATCCCACCAGTGGAGCATAGGCCTTCCACCAACTCACGCCAGGTTGTATTATCCTTTGCTATCATATCCCCCCAGTGGAGCATAGGCCTTCCACCAACTCACGCCAGGTTGTATTATCCTTTGCTATCATATCCCCCCAGTGGAGCATAGGCCTTCCATAAACTCACGCCATGTTGTCCCATCCTTTGCTTACATATCACTTCATTCTTTCTGTTCCATGTATTTATTGGTCTACCTTTATTTCTGTTTTTGGTAAGTTATTATTTCCTTAAAAATTGTATCAGTTTTAGATTATCACTGGCCTCGAGACCTCGAGACCATGGGAACCCACATGTCAGGATCAGTGGCTTTTGTAAATATTTGCAGGCTTTTGTCACCACCAAATTTACTTAATACAAAGCTTGTAACAGCTACCAGTTTCATTCAGCCATGCCACCCATAAATTGAAAGTATCCCCATGTAGATTCTGTTGTGTGCGAAATCACTGGGGATTGACTGACTGACTTTCTGCCCCACCAGGACATCACACAAGCGATAAACACACGATGACACAATGTGACACCATGTGGGTGAGGATCACTGTGGAGAGGTCCCAGAAACCGCGTTCAGCCTTTAGGCCATATTGCGGCCCCTGGCAAAAGCCAGAATAGTGCTTCAAATAACGAAAAATTGTATCCTAAAAAGGACGACAAGTATCAATACTGGGGATTGTATGAAGCCAGGTCTTTATAGGAAGGCTTGTCACTGCATATCACACAGATGTATCTGCATGATCAGGTGTGAGTTATCCCTAGGAGGCACCTGGTACGTAGTTTGCTGGGTTGTATTGTCCATGTCTAGAGAGACTGCACGGCAGTAGAAGACTTGACAGTGTGCCTTTGATCACCACTCATCTTCGTTGCAATGTGTTTGTCTATAATAAGGAGACTGATCAGACTATAAGATCATACTTGGCTTGGTGTAATATATTACAGTACTCGTAGACAATTTTAGTGGTTACAATAGGACGTTACGTGAGCCTCGTTATAGTGGTCCCCTTGTTTTGGATTGGCCGTCCTTTACTGCAGTTATAATTACCATCAGCCTGTGCCGTGCCAAGGAAAGTGTGCAGCATGGTTAGAGGATAGAAGGAATCCAGTGTGTAGGTGTGGAGGGCAGATATTTTATATACAAATCCCCTAGGCACTTGGCCAGCGTGCCTTTCATCCCTCTACCAAACTTGCCAGGTTTTAGGGTCCGGGGGGGGGGGGGAATAGACCTCCTGTCCCTCTAAAAAGGATGTTGTAAAGATTGACTAATTAGGAGTTTGCTAAAATCGGATATATTGGGCCGAAAGGTAGTTATCACAGCCTAGCTGTAAATCACAACACATGTCAACCATCTTTTTAAGGACTGATGCAGAAGAAGAATTGAGGGTTGTATTTTCGTGGGTTTTTTCTCTCTCCAGCAGGTCAAGAACATTGTAATGTTCACTGTCTGATCTGTTAGTAATAATTTATTCTTGTTTTTATCATTACGCTATAGAACTATGTTGAGATCTTCAATATGAGATGGCATGTCAGGTATCACTATGTAAAACGAAGGTGTTGCTTTGAAAACTGAAGGTGAATACTATTTAAATGACATATGCATCAAAATGGGTGCTGTACATTGTTGGCACCTTTGAGATAACCTCAAACGTGCCGTTCTGTTTGTTACTCACGGTGGAATAGATGTATAGCAGATATTGATTACTGAAGAAAAGAAAACTAATTACATCTCTAATATTTTATGAATTCATTATTAAAGATATTATCTCTCTCTTGCTTCTCCCATGGCCTTTAACATAATGAAATTGACCAATATATATTACCTTTAACATATGAAATTGACCAGTCATATGTTATTAAATTTTTGTAATATACTAAACCCAGCATTAAAGCCCATTGTATCTTTGTGAATGTTATTGTTACAGTGTTTGGTTAAAATAAATTTGTGCACCATTGTTTTTAAACCGTATCACCATATTACCCATTTTGTCATAGTATTCAGAGTGGACAGATCAGAGATGGAATGGATGGTCAAGAGAGCTGGCGCAGGCGTTGCACAGAACCAGGGCATGACAGATGCTGTTGTCAAGCTAAGGGGTTTACCATTCGGCTGCTCTAAAGAAGAAATTGCTCACTTTTTTGCAGGTAATTTCTGTCTGCTTTTGAATATTTTGGTAGCAGAAGTAATTTAATATTGTAACATTTAAAATTAGACAAACTAAGATTCTCGAGGAGAGGAGATTATTTGTAAGAGTTGGTGATATAGTTTCAACTTTTAAAATTATTATATTGTGTTATAGCTAACATATAATACAAATAACATTTATGCATTTTAAAAATGTTCTATTAAATTACTATTAAATTCTTCAGTAAGTATCAATGAAAATATTGTAATCTAGTGTTTGGTTGAATTGGGGTCTCCAAACAATTTGTGTTAAAAGTTGGGGCTTTGGATCAAAATTGAACTTTGGTAAGGAATCCTCTAGATAGTGAATATAAATGTTTAACTCAGGTTTGTTAAGAGGGCTTATGCCTGTCAAAGTAAACATGTGCCCCCTGCTACCAGCGGGGTGTGCTAAACTGGTATTGGAACATCACATCCATCTGTAGACAGTCGCGGTGATCCTTGGTGCATTCTCCCAACTAGGGAAATTTTGACTAGTCCAGTGGATATATTACAGCATGAAGAAATGTTTCAGGGTCACAAGGTTTGTTTGTTTGCATTAACCAATTGTAAACTCTGGCAAAAAGTCCCGGTCATTTTTGTGTCTATTTCTTGACTTGGCTTTGTTCCAGGACTTGAGTTTTGCATGCGCATCAGTTTTACAGAACTGCCTTATTTACATGCAGTCTGTTGTTTCCTTGGATCTGTGATAAAAGTGTTAACTTCTTCTGCTTCGCATTCACTGGCTGTAAACTCTGGTGGAAAGTTTTGGTTTTTCATAAGCTTCTGGACTTAAAGTCTTGTTCCAGAACTTGAGTTAAGTGTACATCCGTTGTACAGATTTGTCTCCACCTTGCTGTTATACAGGGGCTTGTCTGTTTCAGTGACCCCAAGAGCTTTGCCGGCAGTAGCTTAGATACTGCTAGGGTTTCTCATGATGGACAGGTCGAAGGACAGAAACCAGATGAAGAGAGAGACATCCTAATTTCATATCTTCTTCTTCACTTCCTCTTTTACCGCTGATATCACAAAATAAAATATATCGACATGGTACTAATCTTCAGGTGATTGGGATAAATTTGCTTTGCAAGCATCATGTGAATGCATTCCAAGAGGTGCTAGAAAAAAATTACAAACCAAACTGGACCAAAAGAACTACAGATTCAAAAGGGAAAGTCCAAGAAGACAGCAGAGAGAAAACAACAACAAAAAACCTGAACACCTGTCGATCAATCAGATTATTTAGCTGTGTAGGGAAATTCATGGAACACATTATAAATAACAGGTTAATAGGACACCTATAAGATACACACACCTTCTAACTCCACAACAGGCAGGATTTAGAAAGTACAGATCCACTGAAGACCAAAAAACAAATATAGCACAGGAAATAGACGATGCCTTCCAAGAGAAACAAAACATAAACTAGCAGTCTGTGTAGAGTTAGAAAAAGCAATTGATAAGTATGGAAGGAGGGACTGAAAGTAAAACTACAACCCAAAAAAAAAAAAAATGCATGTTTGTGTGGAAAGTGTAAAAATGGATCAGTTACTGTCTTGAGAACCAAACTGCAGGACAAATATATAAAAACTAGGGGAAAAAATGGTGTTGAAGCAAGGTTTACCCGGGGGGGGGGGGGGGCTGTTATTAGTACTGCCAACAGTAAAATACAGCAAACCTTATCAGTGTTAGAGGAATGGTAACAAATTTGGCTAGTGAATAACGGTGGCGAGAGAATAACATGCACAGTTTTCTCCCTCTCCAATAAAAAACAGCCAGTTAAACTTGTGCTAAGTGGGAAAAAATACTGCATCAAGACAACAGTCCAAAATACTTAGGTGTCACATTTGATTGTCGATTGGAAAACACAGGCAGAGGCAAGTCGAAAAAGAACAAGGCACATAAATGGCAGTCATGAAAAAGCTTGCTGGCACAGCAGGGGAGCTGATGAGAAAGTTCTCAAGAAGCTGTATGCTGGATGAGTAAGGCCAGTCCTTGAACATGGTATTGCAGCATGGGCAACAGTAGTCAAAATCGCTGAATGCATATTATAACTGGGACCTGAACCCAATGCCTATTAATGAACTAGAAAAGATCTTGACTCTGCAATCAATGGAGGATAGAAGAGACAGTAGAGCCCAGCAACAATCAGACAAATTTAGCAGGCTGACAGATAACCGAATGTATCAAAGGTTTAATCCTCTAGGAAGAGGAAGACTAAAGTAAAAAAACAGATGGGTAATGTGGACGAGTTTGGATTTTGATATGTTATGCATATAGGATCTTCCACGATCTTACTTTTTGCAGTCTGTAACCTCTGGCGGAAATTTCTGGTTGTTCGTCCACCTCTGGACTCTATTCTTGTTCCACAACCTGAGTGTTATGTGCACATCCATTTTACATATCTTGTTTGTTTATATGCAGACTATTGGTTCCTTGCCTTTGAGACAGATGCACTCCGAATTTGAAGGAAGTCCACATTTGGTTGACTCTTATGACATGCTTTTTGGGGAGGCAATGGATCTGTCCCCCCCCCCTTTCCACAATGGGAGCCCCAGAAGAACTCTCACTGGGATTGGTTGGGAGTCAAACACAATACTTTAACGCCAGAGGTGGACACCACCAAAACCAGCCATGATTCGTCCCCTACATCAGCGCTTCTCAACCTGTGGGTTGCAACTTTCTTTAGGGGTCGAACGACCATTTCACAGTGGTCACCAAAGACCATCGCAAAACACATATTCATTGAAATTATGGAGCTGTGACGGAAATAATTGTGTGGTTGGGGGTCGAACATGAGGATCTGTATTAAATGGTCGCAGCATTAGGAAGATTAAGGACCACTGCCGTACGTTATTCTTGAATTTGCGGATCCTTGATCATTGTGGGCATCTCAATCATCCTTGATTAAATAGGAGGGTGTTGATGTCATTACACTAGATTTTTTCCCATCTGGCCTTGTCTCTGAAAGCGGCTGGCTGGCCACCTGTCGAGAGCGTCACAGAAAAGAAAAATCTATAGCAGTCATGATGGCAGAAATATATTTCATCCTAGAACCAAACACTGTCTGAAAACAAAATATGATCTATAGCACAGGATAAACAAATTAGTATCTATGACTGTAGACAAGGATAAAGCTGCCTTGCAGTGACATTTTCTCACAATAATTATTCCTTTGTAAACTGATAGGAGATTATTAAAATGTGCCTACTTACTTTGATTTAACTTGCCCCATGTGTCGTTCGTGGGCCCCATGGTGGGGAGGGGTGGGGGGAGATTTGAACCACTGCCTCCTAACAAGCATGTTGTAGAAGTAAACTAGGGTAATATCCTTTGAAGTCAAAGTGCATCTGCTTGAGAGATTAGGAAACCAACAGTCTGCATACAAATAGCTAGATCTATAGAACTGATGTGCACACATAATTCAAGTTCTGAAACAAGAATAAAGTTCACAAGTGGACAAACAACCAGAACTTTCTGAGTTTGCAGCTGTTGAACCCGAAGAAGAAGATTTAACCAGCATGCTCTGGTTTGGAGACCCCAGAGTTGAAGTATGTTTTTATTAAAATATTCGAACATAAAATCAGTCTAAAAGGGATTTCCTTTTTTTTTTTTTTTTAGATATCAAAGCATAACTTCTATGTGTAACCACCTTCATATGTTTTATTGCTTCCTTCTCTCTTTACCCAATGGTTGGGTGGGGGTTGTAGGGTTGGAGATAGTTCCAAATGGAATTATGCTCCCAGAAGATCGTCAGGGGCGGAGCACTGGGGAGGCGTTTGTTCAGTTTGCATCACCGGCAATAGCGGAGAGGGCTTTGGAAAAACACAAAGAGAGGATAGGTCACAGGTGGGGTGCTTCTAGGCTTTGCCAAATTGGTTGGTCATTTTGTTATGGTCTGTATTAGGCACTTCCATGAACTCAATGTGGTAGGCATGGGTTCACTGGGAAATATTGTGTTACCTTGAAATTCCCTTTAATGTTTTTTGTTTGTTTGTTTGTTTGTTGGTTGACATCAGTACCTTTCAGTCATTGAGCCGTGAATAATGGAAATCTTTTGGAGGCAGTTTGCTTCTCTAGTGTTTTTAAATGAAATGATTGTTTTGCTTCCTTAAAAGTTTGGCTTAAATTGAAGCTCGCAGTCTGGTAAAACTTTCTGGCCTAAATGTATTGAGAATTACTGGTGGATTTAAAAAAAAAAAATCTATTCCTATGCACGTACACACTTATACGTTACGAATATACACATACACTGTCGGCCTTAAACACTAACATTTTTAATGACCAGAACAAAAACGCCATCTGTTAAGCAAAGCATCAAAGCAGGCACCTTTATATATGATCCAGCATAATTTTAATATGCCCAGTCAGCAGACGCCAGTAGCCTGCCATTTTGTTTAGCTAGTGAAAATTGTTTTGTTACATCTGCAGCATGGGGCCAAGAGTGAACATCAATTCTGTTTCATGCTTGAAAAAGGGCTCTTGAGACACTTGATACATTTATGAGGATTGGTGTTTATCAAACTCGACATCATTTTCATCTGACTTGGGCAAAGAGTTTATCATTAAGAACAGAAATTGGAAGTTCCAGCCCAGCTTTATCCTCAGTCTTGTTCATGCCAGTTTTGAATCTTTAATGCAACCTCTTGCATGAAATAAGCATCACTTAGGCTATATCAGAAGCACTCTACAGAGTCTGAAACAGAACTAATGTTCACCCTTCTAGCCAGGCTGCATGCCTAATGAAACAACTTTCACTAGCTAAACAAAAATGGCAGGTTATCTCTGGTCCGCTGACTGGGCAGCTTTACAATTTTGACAGATCATCAGTCTTTTTTTTTTCCATTAGCGACGTAAAAGCTTTGTGCCTGTTTACAGCCGAGCTATAATATTTGCACCTTTCGGCCAACACATCTGACTTCCTTGAGGATTGTTTCGAGGGACGTGGCATATCCTAAATTGTGCTGTGTTCTATTTGCCCCCTTATATAAAGGTGTTGCCCCCTGGAGAGCCTCTCCAGGGCATCCTTGTAGACTGGTCGGCCCTCTAGGGAAGGGGTGTTCCCTGCCATCCAAAGAGGCTTCCATAACTGCAGAGTTGACATGTGACGCCTGGTCCTGGGCTCACCCAGGGAATCGCATGGCCTGCACATGACCGCTTAACCTTGCATCTGTATGTTGAGCTTTCCACTCGCCATGAGCTGCACCATTTTGTGATCAGCTGCGAGCAGCCCGCAGGTTCAGGACTTGAGTGTCCACACAAATATGTATATTTGTCTACAGCTCGTTAGACACCTTTAACGTTGTTTCATCTGAAAACTTAGCAAGACTATGGCAGAAGCATGCATCTGGCATGGCTTCCCCTTTTGAGTCCCGACCCTCTGGCGAGTGGGGCCAGTAGAAGCTTCGTCAGTCTGTAGGACTTTTTGCGATCGGTCATTTGAGACTTTGTTGCAGTGCCATAGGACGTGTTTCTGACGGACATTTTGCAGATTTGCAGTGGCAGATTGTCACGGTGTGTGTTCTTCAGTGTGGTGACGACGGTGTTGAAGGACAACGAGGGATTATGGAGATGACTGTACCAGAAGTTACCGCCCTTGAGAGATGTTGTTCATCTAGGCTGTAAGCAAATCTAGGGCTGAATTTTAACAGTTCAGTGGTTTTTCCACTTGACACACGTTTTAACCGAGGGTTATTATTTAGCAGTATGTTCGGCTAGCGGACTTTACCCATGTTCCAGATGACTTTAATGGGCATTTTCACTCATGCATTTGGGGTGGGCTGATGAGAGCCAGATTGGACATTACATCTTTAGAGGCCACCAACTCTCAGATCCCCTGTAACTCAGTTCAGGTCACAAAAGTGAGCCATTGTCCATTACGCATAACATGTGGCAGGAATCTTTCATAAGGATGTGTAAAACCCCCCTGTTGCCAGCTGGCACCCGATTTAAGGTATGGAGTAAACAACACCCTTAAATTTCTCTCACGCCTGTGATCAAAATCACAGTGCTTTGTTTCATGGATGGAGTTTTTTGTTTTGGTCATAATAAAATCGATCTTATTATTTAATTGTCAAACTGCGCTAATACATTTATACATGTACTTACTTATATTGTGCACAAATACATGTTTTTATACATGTGTACACGGCTACACATAACACAAATGCTCATATACATGTACATACATAACATACATACATGTACGCAGTTATTACACATGTGCTTACATTCACGTATACATACGCAGGCACACATATACATGTACACACACTCAAACAATACACATTTGCTTACAAATAAATACATATGTACTTACATATACATAAAATATTCATGTACGCATCAAACATATCCATGTATACATACAAACATAAATACATAATACACATCTAAATATTAGATATTATTTTCATTCTGCTGAAGGCAGGTAATCTACTTTAAAGGGAATTTCCGGGGTAGAAGAGCCTGTGTTATGATTTTTATAATTGTTGAAACCATGTTTTGAGATTTATCCCAAAATTGCAGTAGAGGGGTATATGTGTGAATGACTCCTGGTGATATGTGTTCTGTGTGTGATCGGTTTGACTGAATGAGTAATATTGCAAGAATGTTGAGGCGTTAAATAGTTCCTACATTATCCCAACATTATCTCAGTTGGTATACATTATCTCAGTTGGTATTTTCAGAATGAGTTCACAATTTGAGTGTTTACATATTGTAATAATTAACATTTATTTGCAAAGGAAATTATGTAAGCATTAGAATCTATACCATTCTCTGTATGAGTTTCAAGAGTTCACGAAAACAACACAGTGTTCCAGTCGCCTGTTGGGGGTGATTGTAGAAGGAGAAGAGAACCAGCCTGTTATGTCCTGTTAATGTAGATAAATAGCAGGTAAAACATGACTGCCTTAACTCCCTCTGTTCCAAGTAATCAGTTTATGAATGTTCACAGACATACATATACCAAGTAAGAATGTATGACTATTTCAGTGTGGTGTCTTATAGATATTCCCATCATTTCATTTCCAGATATTGAAACTCTATGCTTGATTATATTTGAAATGCACTGTTAAGTGTATAACAATCAGTTCTGTTTGTGTGATTTTGTTGAGTTTATCAGTTAATTGTAAAACATATCCTCCTCCCAGCATGATGTGGACCACATCACCCGCAACAAGTTCCCATTGTTCTATAAAATGATGGTCTCGCTTTATATTCCCAGTATACCAGAAAGCATGGAATAGGGTCCTTTACCTTTTACTTACACCCTCTCCTAGACATATGAGCATGCGCACTTATGACCACACATACAGAATAAGTTAATAAAGATAGCTAGCTACATTGGTTGGGTCCAAAGGTTCCCAGAACTGATACCTAGATCGGAAGAGGGTCTAATTAACATACATAAATTGAATTGTATGTAATGTATACAATTTTTATGAACGGTTTTAATGGAAATAGTGTAAAGAAAATATTAACTCAACTTACGGCCAGTTCGACTTACAACATGTTAGTCCAAATCAAACTGAGTAATTAGCCAAAGAGACCTTGTGCAAGCTTTTTCTGATGTTTTAATTGTGGAACTCAAGTATGTTGTCATTCATACGGTTGCTGAAACATGAGCATTTGACCTCATTCTCTTCCAGGTACATTGAAATTTTCAAGAGCAGCATGGCAGAAGCAAATGCTGCAGGTGGCCTTCGAGGAGGCATCCGCCCTCTCATGGCCGGAGGTATGCCCCTGCGACCCGGACCATATGACAGGGGAGACAGATTTGGCATGGGCATGGGAATGATGGGTATGCCTTATGGTAGAGGTCGTGGACGAAATTTAAAAGGTGAGCAATTTATGTGGGGTCACTTACTTGTGGTGCTCTGCAAGTTTATATTTGTGAATGGATCTTATTCTGAGAGCCACTGTAGCACATGGGAGCTGCTGTCGGGTAGCAGATGGAAACTCACCTGCTGTTCTGAAAGTCATGGATTTAAATCTGCACAAAGTCTGACTTTAAAAAAAATTTATCTCTGCTCCCAGGTCAACCCAGACTTAAATTTGTTCCAATTACTGTATATATATATACATAATATATATATATATAATATATATATATATAATCATGATGGGACAGTATGCGTTGGAGCAGGTTAACCAGTTCAAATACCTTGGAGTTGTATTAGACCAAAATGGAGGCATTAAGACTGAGCTGGCTACACGAAAAACAGCTGCTGGGAGACTCTTCCAGGCCATAAACCGAGGGTTTCTTAGCAAAAGAGAAATTGGCAAGAGGACAAAAATGGCTGTTTACTGCTCTACCTATGTACCAGTCCTGACCTATGGGTGTGAGTCATGGGCAATGACAACAGCTCACAGAAGCCAGCTGCAGGCCTCGGAAATGAGATACCTGAAAAAAATGGTCCAAGTGACAAGAAGCTACAAAGTCCGCAATCAGACAATACGTCAAGATCTTGATACCCAGCCCTTACTAACCCGAGTGGATCAGTCACAGTTACGATGGTTTGGACATGTGTGCAGAATGGGAGAAAATCGGCCACCATGGCAAGCATGGGAGGCTAAGAACCAGGGAACCAGACCTCCGGGACGACCCAGGGTGCGCTGGGAAGACAACTTCCGATAGTCCCTGACTGACAGAGGACTCGAATGGAACAAAGCCAGAAAGAAAACTGCTGATAGAGACGTCTGGCGATCTCTCTGGCAAACCTCTACACCCCAAGGTAGAAGAGGAGCGACTAAGTAAAGTAAGTAATATATATATATATATATATATATATATATATATATATATATATATATATATATATATATATATATATATATATATATTTTTTTTTTTTTTTATTTGAATAACACAAATTCTGACAATAATCAAAGAAATTTGCCGCTGTAAGAAAACAGCAGCACCTGTGCAGTGATAAATTTTTTATTATAAGATCATGGGAAATCTAAGACCACGTGCACAACTTTGTTTTGATCTGTACATGAGTGTTTTAAGATATTTGTTAAAGTTTGAGGGCACAACTTTTGGAACATTAGAACTAAGCAAAAAATATATTCATGTCTTCGTCTTCACCATTCTGAGCCATTTGGGGTTCATAGCTGCAGATATCACCACCTCCATTCGTCTCTGTGATTTGCCTTCTTTTTCCAGTTGAAGACTCTACGTGTTTGTAGGCCGCCTGTATATTATCTTTCACCATCTTGTTGGTCTGTTTCTATTCAGTCCCTTTGGATACATAGTTTTTGCATTTCTGTCCTCTATTTTCATGTGTAACTATTAATTTTTGTAATTTTTTTTAAACAGGTTTCTTTGAGGATGAATATGATGACTATGGCTATGACGGTGGAATGGGCTTTGGCATGCGTAACCGTCGCGGAGGGCCAGGGCTGATGCGGGGTGGCCGTGGCATGGGCATGGGAATGATGGACCGTCGAGGGGCACAGCCCGGAGCTTGCTACATAAGTAGGACAGGACATTCAGTTCACATGCGAGGTCTACCTTTCCAAGCAGTGGAACAAGATGTCTTTGATGTAAGGAACAGTCCATAGTGATTTTGTACATTTAGAAACAAAAAATCTTCTCAAGACTGATTTTTCTAGAAAAAAAAAGTAATGGTGCTCCCCAAAAGTCACTACTAAAGGTGCCAGTGATCACCTTAAAATTATCTATTACAGGAAACTTAAAAATAAGTCATGCTGAAAAAATACACCTTCAAGAAAAAAGCTTTCTTGATTTTTATGAGTTCAAGACTGGTGCTCACCCCCAGCCCGCTCCCCATGTCCATTGTATTCTCAGCATTTATCGTTAAAAACCATAACCCCAGGCATGCCATGCACCACTTTTTCTGAATCAGTTTGCCCCAGAAAGCGGAAAACCAGGCTCCTCTGTCAGTTCCAATTCCTGTAAAGTACCGCTTCAGTAGCATTTCTACACTGTTGTGCATACAATGGTTTGTTTTTGTGTCTGTGCAGCATTTAGGTGGTCAGTATGGGAATATATTTACTAACTGTAGCATTTAGGTGGTCAGTATGGGAATATATTTACTAACTGTAGCATTTAGGTGGTTAGTATGGGAATATATTTACTAACTGTAGCATTTAGGTGGTCAGTATGGGAATATATTTACTAACTGTAGCATTTAGGTGGTCAGTATGGGAATATATTTACTAACTGTAGCATTTAGGGGTGTTTTCTTATGAAACAAATGGCTTTTTGAAAGCTAAGTTGATGTCATCTTTGCTGTGAGCCTAACTGATAGATGCATATGTTGTTGTTTTTTTTAGGCACCAGCAATGCATTCCATTTACGTTTTCAATTTGCCTTAATTTATTCATTGCTCACCGTTAAAAAAAAAATGTTGATAAATGCATTTTAAAACAGTTAATTGGGAATCTATGTAAATTGTTTTGGGAAATTCTTACAGGTTAATGCGCCAATAAGTTTTTTAAGTATCCCGGGGGTGAAAGGAATAATCAACTTTTCATTGCTAATCCTTGTAAAAGAATCGCAGGATATATCACTTAAAAAAAAAAATCTTTATACAGCATCTTCCCTAAGATTTTATCATGTAGCGTCATCATCAGTTCTCGTTATGCCTAGTGGCACATGAGGCTTCAGAGAGGACTTTCCATGCTTTCCTGTCCTGTGCAATCTTCAGTGCAGTTTTCCATGTCAAAGATGCCGCACTCAGGTCACTTTCCATCGTTCGTCTCCATGTTGTTTTTGGGCGCCCCTGTTTTCTCTTTCCCTCTGGTGTCCATGTGAGAGCTGTTTTGGCAGGTATATCAGAAGTCATTCTCATAACGTGGCCAAGCCATTTCCATCTTCTCTTGGTAATCATACTGTCTAAAGATTCTTGGTTTGTGGCTTGAAGTAGTTTAGTGTTTGAAATTGTATCTGGCCAGAAAATTTTTATAATTCTACGTATACATGTGTGGTGAAAGGTGGACAGCTTGTGTGCATCCTTTTTGGTCATTCTCCAGCATTCCGCTCCATAAAGAAGAACTGGCAAAATGATTTTGACTATTGTTCCTTCAGTCCAGTCATCAGGCAACATTTCTTTTTCCCAAATATTCTTGAACAATGGTTCTAGAATGCTAGCAGTTGTGTTGGGATCTACTTTGAGAAGTTCTGCTGACAATACGTCTTTGCCTGGTGCTTTGTTGTTCTTTAAAGTGTGGATAGCTTTAAGGATTTCTTGTTTGCTTGGTGGTTCAGTATGAATGTCAATGTCCTGAGAGGCTGGTTGAATATCTGGGGGATTTCAGGATCAGGTCTGTTCAAGAGGTCAGAGAAGTGTTTAGTCCACTGCATGTCTTGTTTTTGTTCTGTGGTGAGCAGTCTGCCTTGGTTATCTCTGATGGGTATGCTGTGATAATTGTTTCTGTTTCCGCAAATTTGCTGGGTAATTTTGTGTAGGGTTTGTAGATCATGTGCTTTAGCAGCATTTTCTGCTGTTTCTGCAAGATTTTCCATAAATCTTCTCTTGTCATCTCTGGCACTTTTCTTGGTCATTTTATTTAGTTCGCTAAATTCTAACATTAGTTGGTCTTTCTGACGTTCTGATTTAGTGTGATTTATGAGGCTCTTTATTCTTTTTCGCTTGGCAATATAGTCCATGGTTTGACTACTTATCCATTCTTTGTGGTGTTGTTTCCTGGTTCCTAATATGTTATTTCTAGTTGATTTGTATGTTTCTTTGATCTGGTTCCATCTGTCTTAAATGCTGATTGAAGTTGGAGTTTCTGGGTCACTTAATAGGGTTTGAAATCTATTCTTGAGTTCTTCTATAAATTTAGTGGCAATGTCTTTTTCTCTTAAAAGGTTAACATTGTAACGTGCTGTCTGTGTCTTAACTTGCGTTTAAACTTTTTTGAGTTTAAGTCGTAGTAGAGCGACTACAAGGTGATGATCGCTTCTCACATCTGCTCCCCTTTTGACATGCACATCGAGCAGGGACCCACGCCATTTTCTGTTTACCATGAAATGGTCGATCTGGTTTACATCTCTTCTGTTTGGGGATATCCATGTAAGCTTGTGTATATTCTTGTGAGGAAATAGTGTTCCTCCTATAACAAGTCTATTCGCCGTGCAGAAGTCGCTCAGTCTTTCCCCCTTGTCATTAATTGTACGACATCCTTGATTTCCCATTGATAGTTCTCTATTTAAGTTGTTGTTACCAACTCTTGCATTGAGATCTCTCATAATGCATAGAATATCATGGGCTGGTACTTTATCTACTACCTCTTGCAGTCTCCTATAGAATGTTTCTTTATCTTCATCTTCAGCTTCATTAGTCGGTGCTTAGCATTGGATGACTGTAAGTTTGGCATGTTTGCCATTGAATCGTGCTGTCATTATTCTTTCATTGATTGGATGCCACTCAATGAGATGTTTGTGTAATCATGTAGCTTACATATGGAAAATTGACCTGTTTGATTTTTAGGCCTTTACCATATATAAAGCAAACTGGAATTTCAGTTTTGCTGGAAACTACAATCAGTTTTGCTAATGTTTGTAATATCATCCCTTCACTTGTGTCTGTGCATATATCAGTATCTGTTTCTGTGAAGCAGAAAGTAAAAGTAACTAAGAAAAAAACCACCTGGAAAAAAAAAGTTGGTCGTCATGTTTGCAAACCCTATGTTCATATATCCTTTCTGTTTGTCTCATGTTTATAAATCTCTGTTGCAGTTCTTTTCTCCTATTCAACCGGTGAGATGCGAGTTTGAGTTTGGTGATAATGGGAGACCAACTGGGGAAGCCAATGTTGACTTTGCAACTCATCAGGAAGCACTTGAAGCCATGAAGAAGCACAAATGCAATATGCGTAAGTGTTACACCAAACTTCCTTGTGCATGCCATTGACTGATTTCACTAATATTTTGGGAGCTTCTTTGTTATGTGGTATTATCAGCTATTTTATTTTCTCAAATTTGATGCTTCTGTGGCTGGCAGTGGTGGGTTCTGTAGCGGGCAGTGGTGGATTCTGTAGCAGGCAGTGGTGGGTTCTGTAGCTGGCAGTGGTGGCTTCTATAGCTGGCAGTGGTGGCTTCTGTAGCTGGCAGTGGTGGCTTCTGTAGCTGGCAGTGGTGGCTTCTATAGCTGGCAGTGGTGGCTTCTGTAGCTGGCAGTGGGGGGTTCTGTAGCTGTCAGTGGTGGGTTCTGTAGCTGGCAGTGGTGGGTTCTGTAGCTGGCAGTGGTGGCTTCTGTAGCTGGCAGTGGGGGGTTCTGTAGCTGGCAGTGGTGGGTTCTGTAGCTGGCAGTGGTGGGTTCTATGGCTGGCAGTGGTGGCTTCTGTAGCTGGCAGTGGGGGGTTCTGTAGCTGGCAGTGGTGGCTTCTATAGCTGGCAGTGGTGGCTTCTGTAGCTGGCAGTGGGGGGTTCTGTAGCTGGCAGTGGTGGGTTCTGTAGCTGGCAGTGGTGGGTTCTATGGCTGGCAGTGGTGGGTTCTGTAGCTGTCAGTGGTGGCTTCTATAGCTGGCAGTGGTGGGTTCTGTAGATGGCAGTGGTGGCTTCTATAGCTGGCAGTGGTAGATTCTGTAGCTGGCAGTGGTGTGTTCTGTAACTGGCAGTGGTGGCTTCTGTAGCTGGCAGTGGTGGGTTCTGTAGCTGGCAGTGGTGGGTTCTGTAGCTAGCAGTGGTGGCTTCTGTAGCTGGCAGTGGTGGCTTCTGTAGCAGTATGCATTACATTGGTCACATGTCAGCTCCATCTGTATTGTCCATACCCTCATAGGGCCGCAGTTTACGTTTGGCTGGTGTAGCTGTTACAAAGGCTCTAATTATTATCTTCTTTAGAGGTTGAACAGGTTATCTGGGATCTGCTTTGTTGGTCTGCCATCCAAAAAAACAATTGTGGTGGATTTTGAGCTGTGGTACAAGAGTCACACCATGAAAGAGATCTTGGCCGCATTGCCAGAGACAGTGGTGGGTGCATGTATTCTGTGCGGCAACCTCCATTGTGGGCATGGTAGGAAACTTAAAAGATTAGTTAGGAACATGGAAATGCCTAAGCTGCGAAAGAATACTTTAATAATAAAGGAATACTTCGAAGTAAGATGGTCTCAGGAATAAATATAGCAGTGAGCACTTGACAAAACTTCTGGCTAGGAAACTACCTTATTTTCTTCAGTTTTAGGGCTAGGTAATTGTTTTTTCCTATTAACTGTTGGTTTCTTCTTCTTCTTTACTGGCTGTAAATTTTGGTGGAAAGTTCTGGTTGTTCATCCACTTCAGGACTTTGGTCTTGTTCCAGAACTTGAATTTGCATTCAGTTTCATTTTACAAATCTGGCTTATTTGTATGCAGACTTGGTTCCTTGCCTCTCAGATGCATTTGGACTTCGAAAGAAATTCCCTAGTTAGTTAACTTGTATGGCATGCTTGTAAGAAAGGCAGTTGGTATACTCTTCCTCCCCCCCAACCTCCCGAATATGGGGCCTGAGAAGCTACGCAGGGATGTTGGTCTCTAATATAACACTTTTCCCTTCTCTCTTGATAGTAAGTATGCATCACCAGCCTTCTCAGGTGAAAATTAAACAGCTCATGTGTGCAAGTTTTCATGCCGAGAGGTGGCATGCTGGGGGTTGGTAAATGGTAGGCTGTGAGACTTTGATCTTGATAAACTATGTTATGCTACCATAGTTGACATCTTTGCACATTGGGCATCCCCATGCGTTCTGAGTCCTACGATACTGCGGCCACTTCAAGGTACCTTTGCTATTTCTTCCCATGTGGAGTTGGTATCAGTATCTCCTGTCTTTATCTCGAAGACGACAGAGGTGCTTCACCGAGCTCAACTCCTCAGTCACGCAGTCGTGTTAACATTAGAAATTCACCATTATCCCCCAGTCTAGTCTGTGCAGCGCTGATTATATTAGTTCTATCCGTGCTTCTTCCTGTTTGCATTGCTTGCTAGCTGGGCAGCTCTTTCATTACCATTTACTCCTGCATGTCCAGGTGTGTAGATCCAGAGATCCAGATGTTAGAGGTTAACTGACTTCTGAATGCTTTCTGCCAATTCAGAATGTGGACTACCTGTAGTGATTTTCTGAAGCATGTTCATAGAGTCTGAAATGATTATCGCATGTGTAACCGCTTGTTCTGCTACCCATGTGAGCGAGTTCTCTGGAGGCAGCAGTTATCTCCCTGGTTATGCTTGATGTAGTTAGGTAAGTGCTGCTATTCTCTTTCACTGTTTTCCCCATCCTTTGTGCTGTGTTTGCCCATACTGATTTTGACATGGACACATCTGTGTCAATGACGACTTCTGGGTGTGAATGCTGATCAATCAGTGCCCTAATCTCCGCATCTACGGTGGCAGGTATCTGACTACTGCAGTACCTGATTAGTGTTATGACAACTTTAGACAGGTTAAGCATGTCTACTGGTGTATCCATCCATTCTTTTCCATGACTGGTCTCATCTAGGTCACATACTTGCTGGATTAGATTTTCCACCTTGGCCATCTAGAAGGAGTCTGTTTTGAGATGCATCCCTTTTATATCATTAGTAGTGTTGTGCAGTGGGTGGTTGATGTCTGCTGATATCTTCGTCTGTGCCCCTTTATCTCTGGTGGCCATTGTCAGTAAATCCAGAACATGCTGCATGGCATGGCACAAAGAGTCTTTTGTGCAGCCGAGTCTCATGGCCTCATTTTATACCCGGTTCAGTCTTTCTAGCTGGGTTCTGCTGACAGTGAGGAGGCCCAGACTGTAGTCTATAACACTTAGTACAAAGTCCCTGATAGAGCAGGAAAAGTAGCCATTGTTCAGTGTTGATGCATGCCATACCTTCATCACCGTCAGATTGAATAAACTAATTTTCCCACAGACAGCATCTTCCCAGTTAAAGCCTGTTACCTTGAAAGGGTCTAAAAGTAAATCTTACACAAAATGAAACTCGTTTCACAAACTCTGTGTTATAGAAGTGACCATGTGTGAAAGGGTCTGTCTAAAAGTAAATTTTACACAAAATGAAACTTGTTTCACAGACTCTGCGTTATAGAA